ATATCTAAGTATGCTTTTATGTAATAAGTTTCGAAAATGATTAAAAATATACAACATTATTACAAAACCACGTATCCTTAACTAGTTATATTCAGATTGTCATTAAAATGGCATAGGACTTGATTTTTGAAGGTTGTAGTTGTCATTCCGATAATACAATAGTTGTCATTTGACATCCTCTGAAGTGTTTATTTGCATTTTGGTTCAAAATGAGAGTGCTTTTCACCATATTACTCGACTATAACACGTTCTAAAGAGTATATGTTTAGTGAAGTTTTTTGTTGATTATAAGTTATTGATTCTACGAAATGCGTGGGAAATAAATAAATAAAAATCGTAAATCCTACTGAATTATTCATAAGTTTCAAAAGCACGTCAAACATACACAAATATTTATAATTTAGTGATCATGAAAGACTAAATAGTTTACATATAATGTTATTTCCCTGAATAGATTCAAAAGCCAATAAACAAAGTCACATTTTAAAACTGCAATTTTATTGATGAAAACTGCCAACCACATCAAATGCGAATGACGAATCTCACAAGAAAAAAATAGAAAATCTCCTCGTAATGATTCTTGATTGCATTAGGATGTAGTTTACTTGATCAGTCTTGACAGCCATCTGCATACTCTCAGGGATTATTCGTCGATCTCCTCCCGAACTTCGCCCTCTACAGAATTAAAGATATCCAAATAAATTGATAGATACTTCAATGACAATTTTGGTATTGCAGTTGAGCGAAAAACTCTTACCAGCAAGATCGACAGCCAAGTTCGCCTGAGCATCAGCCTCCGAGTTTAAATCCTTTGAGATAATATAAATAACACGTTATTGCCTGAAAAACCGATCCTTAAAAAGGGACTAACTGAGATTAGCATGTGATGAAGTTTTTTGAGGAAAAAAGGTGTCATCTTACCCTAAGGACATGAACAATCTGGAAAGAAAGAAACCGATCCTTTAATTTCGTGGCCTCTTCGAACAAGCAGGAAATGTTTCGGTTTTTTACCCTCCATAGACCCTGAATCTGTACACCAAATATTCCTTGGAATATTAACTAGAAAACAGAAAAATGGAGGCGAAAAAATTCACTAAACAACAGCTGTAAGAAAAGGAAGGATGCATACCTGCATACAAACAAGTTTGGAGTCACCTCGAACTCGAATACTTGTAAACCCTTTTCCAAGTGCAGATTTCAACCCTAAAATGATACCTCGATACTCCGCAACACTAGTGGTTGCTACGCCTAAACCTTCACGTAACCTACAAATCTAAGATTTAAAATTGGTTGAAGATAGAAATTATGAACCAGGAGAATAAAAAATATACAATCTATGTAATAATATTTACCCAAAGCCCATCATCAGACCGTAGTATAGCTCCAGCGCCAGATTGTCCAGGATTTCCTTTTGAAGCACCATCAAACTCAAGAGTACAAGAGCGCTGCTAATGATGATGAGGATCAGGTTTTTAGCAAACCAAGTCATAAAAACACCTGTAGATTCTCATTAACCAAATCTGACGGGATACCTTAAGGCAT